TCCATCACGGGGCACGGGGCACAGGCCAGAGGAACAGCCCGCATGGGAAGCCAGTCCATCACGGGGCACGGGGCACAGGCCAGAGGAACAGCCCGCATGGGACGCCAGTCCATCACGCATCACGGGGCACAGGCCAGAGGAACAGCCCGCATGGGACGCCAGTCTATCATGGGGCATGAGCCAAAGGAACAGCCCGCATGGGATGCCAGTCTATTATAGGGCACGAGGCACGAGCCAGAGGAACAGCTTGTGTGGGAAGCCAGAGGTAACCAGAGTACACAGGGGAGGGCAGTAGTCCCCACAGAACCAGCATTTAGCTAAAATTTGGACACCAGTTTCCAAAGGAATATTACCTTGATGAGATGCATGCTTCACTGAAACCAGCACATCTTGCCACAGTGAGCTCTGGAGTTTCTCAGCTTATCCTGGGCCACATACATTAGAGACTGGACAAGGAGAATGGAGGCAGCAGAAAGAAGGTTCTGACCTGCAGTGACTGCCTTTGGATTGGGAGTGACAGAGGGGGTGCTATCCTCATGGAAAAACAATGCAAGACACAACAACTAAGCAAAACACTTCTGCTCCTACAAAGCTTAGGAGAATGCAGTAATTGTAATTGGCAAGAGAATGCAGTAATTCGTAAATGGCGTGAGAATGCAGTAATTGGCAGGTCCTATCCCAGAACTGCCTGCTTGCTTGCAGAATCCTGAAAATAAGAGCCCATCTGTTGTGGGATGGCTAAGCAGCTGGAGCTGCTCGAGGGCCTTTTTAAATCCTTTCAAGGTCTCACCTGATTGATACACAGAGTGACAAGCAAATGCGGTCATAGTCTAGTTAAGGGACAACCTGTGCAGGCCTCTCTCAGTGGTAGACCATCAAATAAGTCCTATGGCATCTTCTGGAGGAGAATCCAGATCAGTCGGATGCTTTTCGGCAAGGAGTGGATAAGCACGAGGCCTTTGACATAAAATGGTTGAAAAGTAACCCAAACTGGATGGGCTTTTTGGTCCAGGAAAAGCCAGTGAGGAATCAGGGCCAGTGGCCAGCCAAGTCACAGCCGCAAAAGGCACACTTTCACTGCCGGTAACGATCCAAAACACTGCTTTCACTTTGCACTGCTCGTAACAGATAAGTACACTGTCTTCCCTGTTATATTCATATACACAATTGACCTGTAGATTCTTGGTATTGTGTTTACATTCTTATTTTTATTGCCTTTCATTATCATCTGTTCATCCTTAAGATCACTTTATTGATCACGCAGCCCTTTTTATTAGAAAATTTCCTTAACATTCATACACGTGACATACCGATTCACACTTTATACATACGAACGGCTAAAGGAATTTCAAAGTCAAAATAACTCTCGTTCTACCCAATTACCAGCTTCAGCCAATACCGGCTTCTCCTTTCTTTCTCGTACAGTACAGTAGAGAAGCAGCTGTTACGGCTGTGCTGTTACGGGGGGCGCTGTGCCCCCCGGTGTTCGAAGCCCGCCGTTCGCCTGCCTGCCTGCATGACGAAGCCGCGGGCGCCGCTGCCCGCCCTTCACCCGATGGTGATGCCAAAGCCGCAATGGAACTTGTTCTTGCGGTGGTTGAGGAACGCCCCCAGCGCCAGCGAGAGCGGCAGGGGAAGCAGCTTCTTCTCCAGCGTAGCTCCCACCACCCAGTTACTGTCGATCGAGCCTGAGGACAAAAGAACCTCAGATGGTCACCCAGCCCGTTAAGCGTATCTGCAGACTGTGGGCCGAGGGGAGGCCAAAGTCAGAGCAGCGAAATACAGACAGACACAGACCGAGGCACACAG